TTAGAAATTATTTTCCACATCATTTTTCTATGTCTCAAATGTCTTGCTTTGTTATTTTGAAGATTAAATGAGACAATTATCAGAAAAGCCAATGAGATTTTTCTCCCTTCCTTCACTTTCCCAGGAACTTTTGAAAACATTCAGTTATTAAAAGAAATAAAAAAAGACACTGTTGCCTTTTTTGCTTTGTATCTGTAGAGTTACCAGAATGAAAAAGATGGGAATAGAAGGAAACTTAGTACATTCCCAGGATTTAGTTCTACTGGAAATGTCTGGACCCCCTACAGGCCTCCAGCCACAAGATTGCATCACCGATCATAAAACTCTATGGCTGTGTTTTTCTACCGAGTTCACATTTACAGTACTAATAATGCCTTCAGCACAAGTCATTTCCAGGGAATTAAGTCCTTGCAGTCAGTGGGTTAAATCCCCACGAAATAACCTGCAGGTGACCCACTGGATTGACCTCAAGTATAGAATTTCAGATCGATAGCTGTAGTACTTGGATTCTGAAATGTAGAATAATCTCTAGTGTTTTTCTTCATACCCCAATGAGTATTAACAGACAGGGGATCGCTATGGCAATTGCAGGGTCTTATGATTTTAATGTTTGCTTTTGGTCCCAGAAAGAAACTATTTTCAAAAGCAAAAGCCTTCTGTTAAATCCTCTGGAATATGTAATGATGACTTACAAACATAATGAGAAATAAAGTAATTCAAATAGCATCAGTGGTCATTAATTGCTTGTACCAGAAATAACATTTCTTCCTCAGATGCAAAGCATTCCAGTTGGGTGTAAAATCCCTTTTGTTCTACCCACCTTTTGGACATGAAAAGGTAATAGATCTCTCAGTTTGGAGCCAGATAAAAATGTTAAGGCTTCACAAACTGGGCTTGTGGGTAGGGCAAGAGAAAAGGGAGGTTATATTGTGACAGCATGAACAATGACACTGACTGGCATAGTGTTTGCTAGCATTTAACCAAATGACAGAAACCAATTTAAATATTTATATCAACAGGAGGAATTCATTTGATGCAGAGAACTGGTTACTTAAGTTATGAAGAAGCTAACAGCCAGATAAGGAAGAGTGAGGTAAGCAAGAATTTAGCCACAGTGGGAAGCCACCATCTCCTTCAGTCTGGAGGGGTAAAGACAGGAGGGTCTGCACAGCCAGAAAGATCCAGAGTGGGCCTATACAGTCAAGGCGGAAGCCATGGAGAAGAAGGGGCTTCAGGCAGAAAAGAGTCTATCTTTCCCCTCCCCCTCTGTCTCCTGCCCGTGACTTCCCTGGCAGCTATAACACCCCAAGAGCACCTGTGACCCAGCCGGCGACGGCCAACTGTCCTATGGCACAGGGCAAGGCAGCCCAGATGGAGCATGTATGGTCAGCCGCTCCTGTGAATTCACTTTATCTGGTTGGTCCCCTTTCCATAAAACACTAAGAACTCATGAGTGAACTTGTTGAGCTTCTGACTATACGAATTTTACAAGAGGCAACATGAGCTATATCATAAAGCTCTCCGGACTAGATATGAATTTGTAATTTTGAAAGATTTTTGGTATAACTGGTATACAATGGGGTCAAATTACCTCCTCTGGTGTTGTTTTTACCATTGCTAAGGAATGAGGTGCCCATGCTCCCACTGCTTATGGATATTTAAGTGTGAATTACGACCAGGAGTTTACCCTGAGTTCAGAACACAAGAACAAGTTGCAAGGGTGTGCCAAAATAGGTTAATAATACATTCCTTTTGGAAAGACATCTGGAGAACACTTAGAGAACTAAAAACAGACCTGCCATTTGATCCTATAATTCCTCCATTAGGTGTATATCCAGAAGACCAAAAATTACTCTACAACAAAGATATTTGTATCAGAATGTTCACTGCAGCCCAATTCATAATTGCTAGGTCATGGAAGAAGCCCAAGTGCCCATCAACCCACGAATGGATCAATAAATTGTGGTATATGTACACCATGGAATAGTATGTAGCCCTAAAGAAAGATGGAGACTTTACCTCCTTCGTGTTTATGTGGATGGAGCTGGAAAATATTCTTCTTAGCAAAGTATCTCAAGAATGGAAGAAAAAGTATCCAATGTAGTCAGCCCTACTATGAAATGAATTCGTAGCTTTCATAGGAAAGCTACAACCCAATTTTAGCCCAGGAATATGGGGAGAAGGGTGAGGGAGGGGAGGGGAGGATGAAGGGTGGGTGTAAGGAGGGTGATTGGCGGGATCACACCTATGGTTCATCCTATAAGGGTACATGTGAATCTCTCTAAATGTAGAATATAAATGTCTTAACACAATAACTAAGAAAAAGACATGAAGGCTATGTTAACCAGTCAGATGAAAGTATTTCAAATTGTATAGAGAAACAGTACACTGTACCCCATGATAGTATTAATGTACATTGCTATGATTTAATGAAAAAAAAAGTCTCTAACACCATAACATATTTCTCACCCCATTATCCTATTGATTAGTTTCTCTGTTTTCCATGTTGAAAAAACAATGACATTCTATCATTCTGAGTTGGTTAAGGCAAGGTTGCTGAGTGTTTTAATACATTTGGACTTCTTTAAAAATAGCATAAATTCAGCAGCTTATAAACAGAAGAACAACAGAAGTTTCTTTCTCACTGTTCAGAAGACTGGGAAGTCCAAGATCAAGCTAACAGCAGTTTTGTGTTTGGTGAGGGCTTGCTTTCTGGTTAACAGATGGCAATTTCTAGTGATGTCATCAGATGGTAGAAGAGGAGAAGGGTCTCCCCCAGGCCTCTTTGATGAAGTCAATAACCCCATTCATGACAGCACAGCCATCCAAAGTTCCTGTCTCCTAATACCATCACCTTGGAGGTCAGGATGTCAAAATATAAGTTTTAGTGGGACATAACCATTCCGTCCATACCACTGAGTTTGTGTGTCCTTGCCTTGGGCCATGAAGGAAATATTCTCCTGTCTCTTCTCTTCCAAATCACATTCTCATACAAAGTTCATCTGGAGAAACACTGTTAGCACTGTTTATACATCATCTTAAATTTTTAAAGGACCTTGTTAAGTACTTTCTCATTCTGTCTTACCATAACCCATTTTATGTGTTAGCAGAAATTCTTGCCATAGTCATCAGTCCCAATAGCAGGGTGACTGCCTCTCCTCTGCCATGTTTGCTTCCGACCATGCCTATATTTTGAAGTTCTATCCAATTTGGATTTAACTCAGAGATGGTTCTATTCTTTACAGAAATTTGAAGGATACACCCTTACTTGGGTTTTGAGGGTCTGCTTTCCATTTCTTTTAAGCTGAATGGCTTTCCTAAATTCTTTAGAATTAAGTGAACTGAAGGAAACTTTAATGACAGATTATCCTATATTACAGAACATATACGAGTATGTTTCCAAATGAGATAATCGTCACTTGGTAGTATGGGGCATGTGAGGCGTGAGATCTGCATGACTTCTTTAAATGTGCACAGAGATGGCTGCTCCATTGCAAGGCCCTCCAATTTCCTACCAGAACCCTATCCTAGCATCCTGAGTTAAATGTCTCATGCTTGCATGTTCCAAGACAGAGTATCAGATTAGGCTGGTATGGAAGTGCCTGCTTGTTTATTTTTCTTTGTTTCTTGTTTTTAGATGAAGTTTAAAAGAGCCTGGGAATTATAAAATACTGTTCTTCTTGAGAAGTGGTAGGCTTATGAAATGAAAAGTCATGACAAGGGATAAGAGGTCCTGTCTCATCTTAAAATCCATAATTAGAATACTTTTACTGCATTAAATAACAACAGCAGCAGCTGCAGCAGCAGCAACAACAACAGAATCTGAAATTGTGAGCCGGCAACGAGAGAAAAACCTTGGGAAAGGAAACTATTCTTTATTCTTCTTGATATAATTTTTTGCTAGAGCTTTAAACAAGTGTGAAAACTCTTGCGAATGGAAAACAGAATAAAAGAACGTGTCGAGAGGCTGTTCTCCAACAAGGGCCCCCACATCCCCACTCCCACCAGTGGGAACAGGGCACATGCACACAGAGCCATCCAAGACAGACCTCCTAAGTGGAGCATTTTTTTCTTGTAGATTTGTCTCATTGGGACTTTAATTAAGCTCCTGCCAGGCTTGCAACCTTTTTAAATTTTACCTTTCTTCTTTCTTTTTCCTTTTCAATCAGCTTGCCAGGAAACTTTTTCTGAGCCATCAGAGTTGTTGTAAGTGCAACCAGAGATATTAAACTTGGAGATGCACTAGTAGCTGCATCTCCAAGACTCACTAGCAGACGTTTCCCGGCATTTGGAAAATATTCCATCTATTCACTCAATTTTACTTAGGAGTATGTATGTGTTAAGAACAGGAAAATAATATAGAAGGAAGCTTCATAGTGTGTACATTGACTAGTGGTTGGTAAGAGATATAACTTACCCTCCCCTAAAATCATTAATTTTACAGATGAAACCTGCTATTGCTTAATTTGATATTCACACTGTTCATAAGCAAATTGTCGCTGGCTGATTATTTACTAGTCTTAGTGAGTGAAGGGTAAGGAAGCCAAGAGAACGTGATGTTGCAGTTGATGATTTAACACATATCTAATGTCATGTAATGTAACATTTAATTTACTTAGGCTCTTTTTCCAGACTCTTTTGTACTTAAACTGACTGCAATCCTGAAAGTATAAAGGCAGACACTAGGGGTGCAGAAGGTGATCCCTTTAAAGCAGGCTCCATGAGAATGTATGACTTCACCTGAGGATGCTTAGTTAAATTGGTGCCCCTAAGTAGGATGCCATATTCCTTTTTTTCCCCACATTTTTAAAAATCAGGGAATATTGCAGGGGTGGAAATAAAGCAAGCCATCAAAAACATAAAAACTGAAACAAAAGATATGAAGCATTGGAGAAATTACTTGTTCCCCATAGCTACTTTCATCATCATTCTTATTATTTACTTAGTAATAATGGGATGCCAGATTATTCTACCGATTGCCCCCTTTGTGGGGTACTTACTGATTGCCTCCACAAACCGCTCAAAGAAACTGTAAGGGAAGAGAGGCTCAGGCAGCTCCCGGAAAAACATCTTCAGTGCTCCGGTGACAACGTGGATGTCCTCCCACTGGCTGTCGTCCAAATTCAGCTTCTCTTCTGGGAAAACACGAGGAGAAATGGAACAACTGGTTTTAATGAAACAATTACAAGACACTAATTATTATGTTAATGTTTGCCTACTATCATCAGCAACCGTTAACAGCCTTCTGCACCTAGAGGTTTGGTGCTGTGCATGTTTTTTTTTTTTTCCCCTTTTTCCGTAGGAAGGGAACATTTTCAATGGAATACCATCTGTAGGAATGTAGCTAACAAAAAAACAAGAGACACAAAGAGACAGTGCCATTGACACAGTATGTCAGATACATTTATTCCCATAATGCATCAGTATGAAAATTAGCATCACAGCTCAACATGATTCAAAGCTATTTGGTTTTGAGGCCGAGGGGCTAAGAGTTGCCAATGATGGCCGGCTCAAGGGACCGGCCTAAAGGCCTTGCTGAGCCAACAGGAGACATATGCTAAACATGGCAATAGAAAATGAGTTATTGCTTTACATGTGTTAGCCTTGCTATGTACAAGGGAATAATGGGTAACACTTTTTTTCTTTTTTTGCCTGAATATAAAGTCAGCAAGGAATAGAATACTGAGTGAGAAAGGATATTAATTCCTTCTTACTGCTTCAAAAATATCTTTTTTTAGTTCTCATCTCAGTGAGGAAAATATGCCCAGCAACAATATTAGACAGACCCCTGTTGGCCTACGTAGGCTATGCAAAGCTGTCAAAAATGATAACACACTAAGACAAACCACAAGTGCTTACCAACTCTTCTTAGAAACAACAGAAATGTTTGCTTTTGAAGCTTGAGTGAGTTGAAATGTTGAAATATTTAAGGAAGTAAATGCTGGAATGAAAGTTTTAGTAGAAATAGTGTGCTGGGCAATTATTTTTGTCCATTTCACCCTCAATCTGAATGTCTGGACTCATTCTTACCATAGAAGTGGCTGTATTAGTGTGTGAAAGTGACATCTTTACATACAATTAAAAGCAAGGCACAAAGCCATCACTGTTGATCCATAGGATTTGTCTTTTGAAATGTGCAACATGGAAAAGATTTTCAATTTTGGGTTTAATAAAAACTAAAATTCATCATTTTAGACAATGTGTGGGTTAACGTAAAAGTAGAGAATCCTAGCAAGAACTTACCAGATATTAGGTCAATTGGAATTCTGTTTCTTTACTGATGTCCTTGGCTTACATTCCTATGCCCCTTTGGTGTCAGTTTTATGAATACAGAGGGGCATTTTGCACCAAAAATATAAGAAAAGCTGAGAATTTTCACTGTAGGGATTCTCTGCATGGGCTGTTTTGCTAATAGTGTTCATGTTCTTTTCAAAATATTAGCCCAGATCTTAATCAGATCTTTTTTTTCTAAGTGAACGATTATTTCCAGCACTACTAAGTGACGTTCCCGCTCAGTAGAATATTTGCAAAGAGAAGAAATGGAGGTGGATCTGTTTATTTCCGATGGGCTGTTTTCTCCTTCCCTTTCAGTCTTCATTCCTACCTTAATCACAACACAATAACATGATCCACAACAAAATCAGTAGACGAGACCTGCTTTCTGCCCTGCAATCATTTTTGATTGATTGTATTTCAACAATTAGTCTTTTATTTGGCTACTCACTATTGAAACAGGCCGACAGCATCTTAGCAGGCCAGCTTTAAACAGTCAACTGCTAACAATAGCATCAAAAAGGGAGACCTGATGGGGTTTACTGTCACTTTAAAGAACGGGGTTTTCACATTGTTGAAATCTGTCAGATATTTTGAAATGTCCCTCTCACTATGGTGCCACACCCCCTGCGTGCCCTTATAATAAAATTGGTTTTACTCCTGATTAAATCATTTTCTCCCTACCCACTACCATACTTCTCATAATGGACCTGTGCGCTCTACAGCTGGTGTTCTTCCCATGGTACCAATTCTTACTTTATCTTTTAAGCACTTTGCTGCTAAGATCTCATGCAGAGTGCTTATGTTTTGTTAAGAGCTTCATTCTTAGAGAAATAGCTTAACACATGTTCTAAAAATGTTGTACAACTTATTGCTTAAAACACATTTAGAAAATGTATAAGTACTGTAGCTTTGGCACTGAACTTTAAGTTGAAACCTAAACACACACACACATACACACACACGCACATATCTCCACCAAGAATTGATGAGCAAAATCCCATACAAAATGCCATTTTGGTTCATGGATTTGAGATTGCTAAAGCAAAGTGTTTTGGCAGGTAAGAAAGAGAATAATTTTTATCTTAAGCAACAATGACTAATATTACATAACCAAAAGAAAACACAACGGATATCAGTCACCTCCACATAAATATCAATTAATTCAAGTGAACATAAAATGGAATGTTTTGATATATACAAAAGAAAATTTATCACTCAAAAATACCATTTGATTATATTCACTTAAAATACCATATAAGAACCTGTCACTTAAACCAATATTACTACTATAGACACCTATGTATTTTTCATTTAAAGAAAAATTTAATAACTTGTAGCTCTCCAATAAGTAGCCTAACTAAGCAATATGGTAGATAGTTGGAAAGTCTTTTTAAATATAATATTTAAGATTTATATCAAGGCTTTTATAATCAACTAAGGTTAAGACCCATGTAAACCAGAGGGTGTTAAAGTATATTTTTTGATTTATATCAAGGCTTTAATAATCAACTAAGGTTAACACCCTTGTAAACCAGAGGGTATTAAAGTGTATCTTTCTAGGCCGTTGTGGCCACTGTATACATACTTACCCCATCTAATATACACATTTGGTGAGCAGTATCCAACTAGACTGTTCATAGTGATACTGTCTTATACTGTTCCCTTTTCCAAGAGAGCAGTGTTTCTCAACAGTGACACATATTAACATTTGTGGCTGGAGAATTCTCTGAGGTGGGCGTTCTTCTTTTCATTCTAGGATACTTAGCAGCATCCCTGGCCTCAACCTACTAGATGTTGGTGGCACTATCCGATGATGATGATGATGAAAAACGTCTCCAGATATAGCAAAATATTTCCCTGTGCTGCAAAATTATTCCTGTTGAGAACCACCATAATGGAGTCTGTAAAAATCCACAGTAGTTACTCAATAAATATTGGTTTATGAAGTTTACCTTAGGTGGGCAGGGAATTAGAAAATTAGATACACACATATAAGATTTCCTTAATATGAACTTAAGGGTTGGTAATTATGGTTGACAAAATTAAAACCTTTTGTAGAACAAAATTCCTACGAACACATTCAGGGTACCTTCAACAGAAATAATGGCCAACAATTATGTAGTGTTTCTACCATACCAGGGACTATGCTATGCACTTTACATTCATCATCTAATTTAATTTTTTTAGCAAGGTAATGAGTAAGATGCTATTGTTACTATCATATTCACTTTATAGATAGGAACAATGAGGCATGGGTACATTAAGTAACTTATTTAAGGCTGACAAGTGATGAAACCAGAATAAGGAGTCAGTAAGCCCCCAACATGTTCAAAATCACTATGTTCAGACTTACTCTTGCCTGGCAGAACAGAAAAGGGAAAGAAAAATAAACAGTGATTGAAAGTGGTAGTTGATGACTGTTTAAAGATAGTAATTTTTGTATTTTATCTCTTTTAGCCCTGTCTTATTTGAGGCTATACTTTTCTCTATAAACTGACTCTGATCTTTAGTAATTGCTCATTTATAAAACGTAAAGATTCTTATACAAACAGATATAATACAAATTGGTAATAAAAATAAACTGAATTAGGAAAGGGACCAAGATGGAGCAAATTGTTATGTAGCAAGGGAGTGAAAAGGAAAATGGTAGAGCGAAAAAGAGATTATATAGAGCAGCCATTCCAGGCCTTGATTTACTAGTAATTCATTGTATATCTATTTATTTATTTGTGAAATGAAGATAAGAGAGTTATTGGTGTCAAATGGGAAATAGTATTTGTCAAACATCTGGAAAGAATAAGAAACCAAACATAACCAAGACACCATTACAATGAGGAAGGCGAATAAAGGTCAAAAATAAAAAAAGCAAAATATATAAGGGACTAAAGCAATGCAAACAGTAAGCAAACATTATATACCATTCTGGTTGTTTTAGAGGATTTATCTCAATGTCAGGCCACCTGTCATAGGGGATCAACAAAACCTTTACATGCTGGGGTCCAATCCTGGGAAGAAGTCTGGTTGTATCAAGATACTTGGCATCATTGGTGGTGGTTTCCTCTGGCCCTCTAGTTAGGCTAGCTTAAATTCATTTTGGTCATGGCTTTTAGCTTAAAGCATATAAGCAGATATGAAGATAGATTAAGCTTCAGAATCCAAATCCCGTGGGGTTTTCATGTGATCACAAAAAATATACCTAAATGTTATATCCAAACAAGACTGTCATGAAATGCACCTTTTGAAGGATCTTTAGTGCATTTCATTCATTTATTTTTTAAGTAAAAGTTGAAACTTAAAAAAAATTATATTGAAACAAAAATTCGATAATAGCTATTAGGAACAATTTTTCTTTCAAAGAAGAATGGAAAGATGGGCCTTTGATAGCCATTCTCCGTCAATGGTAGTTTCCAAGGAAAAAAAGGAGCATTTACATATCCCTAACAGTTTCATCACCAGCCACCTTCCTTTTGTATTAGCTACTGCTCCATAGATTGGTATAATCAGAACTTGGAATATTGGGTCTTTCTTTATCTATATTCAAACTATTTCAATCTCCTCTTGTGTAAAATATGGCTGCACTTGGACTATCAGAATAGAATAGTAACAAAAGAGTAAAGAGATAACTCTTTATGTATTGAAAAACAAGTGCTTTTTCACCTTGTAATATTTTCCATTGTACTTTCAAAGCATCTCTTCAACTTTTGTTTTATCATTGCAATAAAAAAAGAACAACACTCCAACTTTCCCAAGATACAGAGAGAATAACTCTGATTTCATTAATACAATGACAAGAACCTATTACATTGTGAAACTCTTATAAAGCATGTGGTATCTACTTCCAGTGCAGATGACCATTTGG